TGCTTCAGGCAGATCGAAAGATGTGTCTGCAACCTGCAAGAGCATAAAATTCAGTCAGGCACGTGAATTTATCTCATTTGTAGTTATAGTGATACAACTGTTAAATATTGTTGCTATCCAAGTATCATTTCATTTCATTTCTTCGTTATCAGATTTTCTTGTCATTTCGGAATTGGCTTTTAAATTCTAATATCAATTGAATTATTTCGAGCAAACCTTTGATACGAAAATTGTGTTCACTTTCGGATTATACTGGAAATTTTGTAAGATTTTCATACGTTCATTCTGTCCTGTTTCACCATATAAGAATGGTTTGTCCATCTCTATGGCATATTTCTTCAACGCGAATACATTGTCAGAAAAGACGATGATCTTAAATTTGGAATAAATTACTACGAATAAGTAAATAACAACTGACTAATTTATTCCGATAGAACAGAGAAGGTTGGACGACTAAATCCAGCAACCGACGGTTCTCTAAAACAGAATTTGAAGAAGTATTCCAGAAGTAAATTCATTTCCAGGATTGTTGCAACGGTAATTATCCGATACCTAGATGGGCATTCCCTTCTTATTATTTATTCTTCAAGATTTATTGCTGTGATGCCGTGGTGTTTACTTCAACCGCTTAAATGCTTGCTACTTTTCTCAAATCTTCACACAAAAAATACACAGTGAATTGGACCTAACTTTACAGCGACGATGTAAACGAATATCGATACTTGTATCTTGAATTTTCTTTTCCAGCAAATTGCTTTCTTAGATATTGCACTATTTTACATACATTAATAGTTACTGCTGATTTTTATATTCAAAAAAAGAACAAAAGCTACAGCCCTTACCTTGTCATTACGCCGCTCATGATACTTAATAAGGAACTGACATATGCGAAATTTATTGGGATTCATTACAGCTAGCAAAAGACGGCGCCCAATTTGAGCACGCAAATAGTACGAATAAAATTCGGCACTCATAGGACACCAAACCTAGAAGAAAACTCGACAAGCATATCATGTTACTGTGTTTAATAAAAACTAATCTTAAATAAAGAAACATTAGGGATTATCCCGCTGATCCTAGTATTACATTTCTTTAAAAAACTTTACCTCAGCACACTGTACTTTTGCAATTTGTCCCGCTTTTTCAAGTTCCATCCAATTTGCTTCATATAATTTTGGACCAATCAAGAAATTTAAATCCGTAATTTTATCATCTTCACGAACCAATGTAGCTGTTAATCCTAACTTACAATGTGCTCGAACAATTGTTAATACTCGTCGAAACATTTTAGCTGGTATTGTATGTACCTCTGCAAATTATTGTAATCAAAGTCTATATGCATATATAAAAAAGTAATCTTTATGGAATGTTGAAGAATGAAAGCTCGAACTTCTATCGAATTATGTACAAAATATATTAATCATTCACGTATCTATATATTCCGAACTAGAAAAAAGATATATACCATCTAGCAAGACAAGTCCCCATTCACGGCTTTCAATATATTTCATAGCTTCTTCGGCTGCGTATGTTCTTTTTCCAGTATATGCAACCATGGAATAAGTACTTATGCATACAATTGGCTTATTAGCATTTGAACCAGATGGTACTGGGTCACGTGCCTCACGCGTAAACCGAATCAGTTGGTCGTCTCGAATTGTTGACCAGAGCTGAGCATTTGAAAAAAGGAATTCTTTTCAAAAAATCTTTCAAAAAAGTTTTCTTGTTTGTTTAAAAAGTTTTGTTAAAAACTGTTCATGAAAAAATCTTTTGAAAACACCATAAAATGACTTTAATGGAAAATTATAAAAATTTGGAAGATCTATAAGTTAAACAGAGAAAAATAATTAGTAATTGAAAAAGTCACCTTAAATTGTCCACGCCATTGCTCTACTGAAACGTTTGACGTCGCTAGCACCAAACACCTTTTATTGACTGTTGTAGCTGCAGTAACGCCCACTAACGTTTTACCAGCACCACAAGGAAGGACAATAACACCGGAACGTGCACGACTGTTACCAAACATTTTCCGTAAACTCTTTTCTTGATAGGGCCTGTCAATACGGTATCATTAGGATTTTGTAATATATGAACTTTTGTACGTTAATTTCACAAATTTCGCTTTTAATTACATTCTAAACTAATATACAGTGACACCTTAAATTAGTAGATGACTTCAGATCGATTCCAAGATTTTCATTGAAAGTATCATTGCGAAAATCATATTCCGCTAGCAATGGATATTCCAATTCGATGCAGCGTTTCTGTACAATTTCAATCGATTCTTGCTTGATCTTTAAAAAAATTTTCAATTGTCATTGAATTTAAAAGGATTCATTTCTAAGATAAGTACGTATAAGCTAAAATTTTTAATTTTTAATCTAAAAAAAAGAACCTTTTCATTCGACTTACTTCAAAAGTCAGCAGTTGAAGGTTTCTGATGGCTTCTTCATCCTCATCTTCATCATCACCGTCTAATTTACCATAATATGAATCGATATCCTCAGGCACATCACTTGACTTTTTGGCATCCTTTTCCTTTGCTTCTTGATGCTGATGTTGGATTCCCGGAATTTGTATTTTTTCCATGTTTATGTTCTGCAGAATAACAAGTTCTGCTAGATCTTGGGAAAACAAGAAACAAATAGTTCATAATATTAAGAGAAGAAAAGTTCGAAGAACATCCATGAACTTAACGTATAAACTCTACTTATTTGTAACACTTCTGCTAAATTCTACATGTCTATGTAACTATATCTTTAAAAAAACCATGACAATAATGAGCTGTTTAAGATTCCGTCTTCCATGTTATTTTATATTCCGGAAATCATTTAACAGAAGCCTTTCAGTTCGAGGCGTTTATCTTGCTTTAGAACTTACTGTTTGTGGTATTTCTGTTGCCGGTTTTTCTTCTATAAGGCATTGTTGGATTACTTTATCCTTCAATAAAGTTTGTATAACGTCAGAATGGCGCGATTCAATGAAATATCGATTGTATTTGAGCACCAACTTTACCTTTCCATAGCTAAGAGTACACATCTATAAATCAGGAAAATTATTTCGCAAGAATCCGTACAAAATCTTTCTATTTCTTGAAGCTGCATTATTTAAACTGAATAGCTGTAAAACCTTCGTTTCCTAAGCACATTTTCGGGAACATTTATTAGCTTTTTTGCATACAAAAAAAGTTTTCAGTACGAAGTTATCTTAACTGAAGGACTATTTATGATCCCCTATTATTTTTAACTGATTAAATAAAACTAAAAAAAGCTAGCCAATTCTTACCTTAATAAATTCAATAATTCCCTTCGGTAAAGAAGATTTCGATAACCTCTCCAAATATTCAATAATATCACTGGTTTGCAAACCGATTGACACAGCAGCATATAGTGAATAAGCCGTAAGTTGATATTCATGAATAAATTCCGGTCTACAGACTGGCTAAAATAATGAGATTAAAGTTTGATTTGAATGAAGTATGGCGGACAATCTTACAACAATACGCTCAGTGAAATATATCATACTACATAAACATGATACAGGCGCTGTATCACCCGAGAGAAATTTATTATCAAAATAAAATCAAACTGATCTAGTCGTATTGATTTTGCTATTTAAGTAATGCCTCAACGAATTCAGCTGCTACATGAGTTGCTTTTGCTTAATATCTTAAAATTTTTTTTTTATTTGCTTCCCAAATATCTGAAGTGTAAATTTCGAAATTTGAAATACAAAGAAGTCAAAATATTAGATAAGTAGTAAACAATTATCGATAAAACAATAAGCAACCTCAGAAATAGCAATTAAGAAATCATGGGCATGCTTATACACAGGGCTGAATGATTCCAGGAAGATATGACCATCGGGAGCAACCCAAAGAGGACGTGATGCATGATCGGGTTTCAATTTCATTTCATGTCGGTAATCCTTCGCTCCAAAATCATCAGTACGTGTAACCGTAGTCTGTCCTTCCAAATTGTGACTAGCTGCTTTTGGTACTAAAAATAAATGAACTCAATAACAGAACAACCATCCAAATAAGTATGAAAATAAGCAAGAAAGAATAGCAGATTTCGTAAAATTTTTATTGCAGACAGTCTAAAACCAGTATTAGGCGTAATTAAACACTTCAAATGATATGAGGCCAAATGCGATATTAGTAACTCTCAAATTCATAACTAAGATTGAAACGTTATAATTCTGCACCTGGAAAAATTGAAAACTTCATATTTTAACTATGCCTGTATTAAATCTGGGATCACTAACGTATTGTTTCTAGAGCAATATGTAACATTTAAATCTTTCTCCATCAGCAAATATCTTCATAGAAAAAATAACCTGTAGTATCTTTATCGCTGGAAACACTTTTTTCACCTAAATTACTCGATTGAGAACTTTCATCAGCATTGAAATCGGCATTGTATTGCTCCCACCGACCACGCTTACGCCGTTCACTTTTGCCGGGTGCCATCCACCTACTCTCAAACTACAAAAGGCAATTCATGTAATGGAATCAGAATTTTAATTTGAACAAAATATTAAAAAATTTAGTCCGGTTAAATATTTATTGACCAAAATATTAAAGGAATTCAAATCCTTTTTACATGTATAATATTATGACGACTTATTTATTTTGCATTAAGAGAATTTTTCAAATATTATTCATATCACCAAGAACACACAAATACCCAAATGTATACATTTATGAAGAGTAATAAACAATAATATAATAAATAATAACGATAATATAATAAATAATAACAAGTTCTGAATTTAGGATGCACTCAAAAATATTTGCATAAATCAAAACCCGTATTGAATCCGCAAGAAAAAGAAAAATATGAATGAATTTAAAATTTCGATTTGAACAATCGCTGGATTTTCTCTCCATCAGGAAATTTATTCCACTTAATTTAATAATCATTTGAAGAATTAAAGTTTCAGTAAGCATTGAAATATTGGAAACGGAAGCTATGGACAAATTAAGTAACGAGTAATAGTCAAGCAAGTACAGTTTTTTTAATGGAACCAATGTTTGGCACTGATAGAGGATGCAATCGTTTATAGAGAAATTTCAGCTGTTTTTTCAAATCACCTAACCGGCGATCCTTCGCTGCAATCGGTATTACTGCTTTTACAGATAATGGCTTGGTAGGTCGCATCTCTTCTGGTAATGCATCTGGCCAATTTTCCTTTTCCAGAATTGAAACCAATTCATTAGCTTTCTGTTCACCATTGGGTAAATCTATTTTGTTCAGAGTAATGATCGTCGGCTTCATCACTAAAGCTGGATCATATTTCTCTAACTCTATATTCAGAAGTGCAACAGTTTCTAGTGCATTACGGTACGGATTATTTACGGATAAGTCAAGTTTGAAACCAAGAACATCAACAACCATCAATAATATATCGCTGAATTCCAGATGCTTTAGAAATTCTCTACCTCTTCCACGATTCAGTGCTGCTCCTTCTAACAAACCTGGCAGATCAGCGATTGATAAACTAAATGAATCATCACCATCGTCTATTGATTCTAATTCCGATCCAAAGTTATTAATGTAACAAAGTTGAGGTTTCAATGTTGTAAATGGATAACAGGCTATTTTGATGTTTCTTTTTGGCACCAATGCCTTCATAACTGTTGATTTTCCTGCATTTGGGAAACCAATCAAACCGATATTTGGATGAAGCTTAAGGTGAAGATCGACGAAAAACCGCTCACCAGCCGTCGCTTGAAAGGAATTCTCGGCGCAACCACCATGACCACCTCGTGCTATCACGTAATTGAAGAATGGTCGTGAACAACGTGCTATCAACATTTTAGTTTCCGCATTTATTATATCGACACCTACAGGAACCTTGAGAATTTTTGGCCTTCCATTTATACCAATGAGTGAAGTCTGTGAAGAGTTCATACCACTTTGAGCTTGCACCTTCAATACACGATGTTTAGCATTCTTCAGCATCGCTTCAAAAGTCATCTTCGAATGTCCAACCATAATCACATCACCACCATTCCCTCCAACACCATTAAATCGTTGCAGTCCTTGTCCACCATTACCTGCACGTACGAAAAGTCGTAAACGATCACGGTTGATAACTCCTTCGTTAGAAATTGTTGAAGCATACAGTTTTTGCTGCAGTTTGATCATCTTAACCAATAGTCGCATTTCATAGGATGATAATTCTAAAAAAAAAAAAAAAATGCGCTTTATTCAAATACATTTATTAGCTCGACCGTTTCTGATTTCCTTACAAAACAAAATTTGTTGAAAAACCAGAGTAAAAACTATCCAACAATAATTTCACGAAAATCGAATCAAACTCGCCACTTTAAATATTTTACTTTGAGTGACATATGAGTTGGCAAAATTAAAAGATTATACCATTCAACTCCTTGGATATGACATGTATTAAATATCACAGAATCAAATCTCAACTAACCCAACTAAATTAAATTTACCGCAAACAACCAAAAGACTATTATCTCATGATTAGATTAATTTGTGATTTTTAATGCACAAAGATCTCAAATTGATTCCACTCCCTCAAAAATCTTCTAGTCTAACTTCCTTAATGTTATGCTAGTGTACAAGTGGGCAACCTCTATAAGTTTAAAATAATTGAAAAATGAAGACATCCAGCGATGATATTAAGTGAAGTGGAACCTAGGCAGATTTGGAAAAAACAGAACAATTTTGACAGTAAAAATACTGAAGAAATTAATTATTTAATTTCTTTTCGTTTTTGGCATATAAAATTTTCTCTTTCCGTTGAAAACCTGTACGATTTTTTGTTTCATGGAAACACTCATACATGTTTATTTAAATACTTTAGACCATCACCGACGTCAGAAATATGATGGAAGTAACTTCATAATGAAAGAGAAAAAGCTTTACGGGAAAAATATTTTTACCAGATACGATATATATATATATATATTTTATATATATATTGTTTTAAAAACATCAAACATAAATGAATAAGCAAACCAAAAAATTTGCAATATCTCATTTTACAACATTTCAATGAAAAAGTGCATTTGTTTTCTGGAAAAATTGCATATACGTTACATGAAGAGATAGAAAATATACAAGAAAAATACAAAAGAATTCGGGGGAAGGAAGAACAAATACAAGACTGAATTAAATGACTAATGGAAATAAAATTCCATACAATAAACTTTTCCAGGTTTAATATTTTTGGAACCGTTTCTTTTTTTTGGATGATTTTTCTACTATAACATCCTACCTATCGCATAAAGAAATGATTGGAATAAATGTTTTCTAAAAGAAAAATGTATTTAAAATATGAAATAAGTTGTGCATTTTTAAAATCCTTAACAAAACAACATCAAACTTTTGTTCTTGCTTATAATTACAAGAAATTCTAATTTTGATACATAATTCTGCAAATTTTCGTATACCTAAAAACATAATTTAAAAAATCGCTACATTTAAGAAATATTTGTCTCCAATGCATGAGTTAATACAGCAATATTGATATCTGCCTCATCGGCTTCCTTTAATTCATTGAATTTTGTGTACAATCGAAGAGACAAGCGAGCAAGATCGATTGGATCGGTTTCCTCCTCATCAACTGACTCGCCTATATATTAGTGCTATTACTTCATTATACTACCTCAAAAAGAAAAAAAAAAAAAAAAAATTGTTATAAATAACACAACCGACCTTTCTATCGTTTAGCTTTATTTTTTATAAGAATTTCCGAACAAAAATTTCTTGACTCTAAAACTTTTAAAATGACTAAAATTAAAAACTAAAAAACTACTGATTTAAAATGATCAAAATTAGAACAGAGAAAAGCTTACCGAAGAAGTGCTGTGCTAAAGCATTTAACGAAAGCGAACGCTTGAACAATGAACGGTAAAGCAACACAATGTCTTTTACCTGTTCTTCCGATACCTACAATTTTATATAAATATATTAAACAACAAACAAACGCATAACTTAAACGCAAAAATTATGTAATAAATACTACATAATCAGCTGATTTAAAAAAGATTGAGTAGAAATAGATATCGAAAGAACAGAAGATGGTAATAAAGAATTACCGAATTAGTGAATTCGAGCACCATGTATTTAATTTAAAGGATAGTTTCTTCGATCAGTGAAGCAATAAATTTAAAGATTGAGTAGAACAAATATCAATAAGATATCATCTTGGATACTTTAAAAAAATAAATGCGTAAAATATTTACGTGGATATTTAGCATTTCAAATAAGTGCTCAATTTTGTATCCAATGATTGTTATTTTTTCTTGAATCAAGTATAGAAGTTTCAAAGACACTCTCTTCAGCGTCTGCGAGTTATCCATATCACTCTTTATTCCTGGTTCTTTGATAACACTACTAATAAAACAACTGCCATCTTCGTCAACTGCAAAAACTTCAGATACTCTCTTTTCGCCAGCCTAAAAATTAGGATTTGTAATGAATCCATCATATATTGCACAAAATCATTCAGCATGCAGTCTACACACTTCCTAATAATGCTATGACCCTATTTAAAATAATAGAATTCATAATTTACTATTGAAATGTACTGTTAATTAGCTGGTAAAGTTATTAATACAGTAACCTTAAGGTTGCATTAAATTAAATAGTGAAACGTGTTGTAGGCAGTACCTCGCTGATTGCATATTTCGCATAGATCGCAACTTTACTTCCTCTTTCTGGTATTTTAATTTTGTTTGAATCCAAATCATTCCAGAATACAGACCGTGGGATTATAGCACGACTTTCATTTTTGGCAGCTGGAATTGGTAGGAATGAGAAATCATTCGTTTCTTTTTGAACAGTTAAAATAAGGCCTCGAAAAAATCGATTACCTTCTTTACTACCATTTTCTCTGTCTTGCACATAATATAGGATAGCCGGTAATTTCCAGCAAGCATGTAGACGCAATGCTTCATTTTCTGAGATTCGTGTAACAGACCAACTGTTAAACAATATCCAGCAAGAATCCTTCAAGGCAAAAATATATAAACAACAAAAAAGAATAGAAAAAAGCGAGCTAAAAAAACAAAACTATTATTTACCTGCTTTGATCTGATCGCAGTGACCAAATGTTCCTCAGTTTGCGTTTCTTCATCTTCATTGATGATAAATATGGCTGCTACCAGATGAAAGGATGTACTATTTTCCATCTTATTCTAAATTTGAAAGGTGTAAAACTCACAAATAAAAATTGTGGAAACTAATAGTAAGCTAAATCAGAACTAAAGACATTCAACTTTTTTAAATGACTCAAAAATCTCGTTACTTCCGAAACCGTGCAAATACCATCCGTTATTTTGATATGTACTGAATTCGGTATATAATGAGGACATTCGTAATATGTGGTAGTGCCTTCAGTCGTTAGTACATTCGTTTCACATTTACTGGAATGAATTTGAGGTTAGCGAAAGTCAGCTGTTCATAATGATTTTTGATCCTAATGCAGCACTTCTAAAACACAAGAGAATAACTATTCCAGTTTCTAATAAATTTTTGCGTTCGAATCTGCCAATTTAACCACATCTTCGAATGCTAGCTGAGTGATCATCATTTAAAATTCGTGAAACACGTAACTAATATAAACACCTTACAATTATCAATTTAATGTTGTTCACGAATGAACAGTAATGCATAAAATTTAGTAAATTCATTTTGCCTTGCCTTTAATTCCATCTTGCTAAGGAAAAAGAAAAAATCCAGTTTGAGTCATATATTAAAATAAACCTGTCATCATTATGAAGATACCGACAGTTTGGATTTCTGCATTCAGTACCATATCTACATAATTTTACTTTGTGTTCTGTTACTGAATTTGGCGCCGTCACCGATCGATTTTCAAATGCCTGAACAACAAAAAAATATTCAGAACTCATACCTTTACATATACAATTTCAGTTTTGTCAGCAGCAAATTATATTCATCATCTTGAATATTTTAAATTGACATTATATACCTAATAAAACCTAATGTATTTCATCAATAGGTAAAATTGGAAAAAACAACTTGAATGTGAGAAATCCAAAATGCTTGTTCTGTTTCTGTACTGGCTGTCATATCCAAAGCGAGAATGTTCGGCAGTAAACGCACACGACGTGTTGATGCGAACCGTGCTAACTTCCCGCATTTCTGGCAGATAGCTTCATTTTGTTCGGGACAGTTTAGGGTTTTTTCCAGCAACGTACAAAATCCAATTTTTTCATTACCTGGAAAAATTATTCCAAAATCATTACTTTGAATCTAAAATTTGAAAAATTAAAAGCAGAGAAATTCAATAAAGAATGGAACAAAAACTTCAAAAGCATATTATCCTTACTTGTCGGGTATGCTAATGATATATAAAGTTGTGCGAGGGCTGACTGATAATGCTCGGAACACCGAATGCAATGATTATTCAAAGTAAACGAAATCTCCATTTCCTTGCGAAGCGCTACTCCAGCAGTAGTTTCAGAAAGTTCCTATTAATATGCAAAGAAAAGAAATCCTCTTTGAATTTATCTCAGTAATAGCATACTATTTATTTATATTATCTTTCTTATGATATATTTTATGCTTATATAAATTAAACTTAAATCATAAATGCCAAATCATAGATACCTTGTCCAATATTTTGCTGAAGACTTGCATAAATAAGCGAACTGTTTGCGCTAAACTTGCATTAGCAACTGCATCTGCCCATTTTTTACCGTCATCAATGGATCGAAAAGTCTTCATAAAGTTTTTGGCCTAAAAGTATGATAAGGAATATCAAATAACTCTGTCATTAGTATATAAGGAATATGGAATAATTACGTCATTACTAGAATTTTAGTTATTCCATACAATATGCTTATTTGTGACGACATCGAAAGCCTGTAGCCACCACAACAACTACACTGGTCACTAATCCACTAGCTATGCTGTTGACATTAATAGCTCTACTTGCTTTGGCCGCATTAATAAGCAAGTAATGAATGCACGGATTTTTAATAAAGTCTAGGATCATGTCTACTATGTAATCCTACCACGGCTATTACACGCTGTATGTTTATAGTTCATTCAAACTACAAATGATCAGTTTTCATCTTTTATTCAAATATTTTCAAAAATTTTTTTAAAATCCCACTCAGATTACTGAAAAAAGTTCATACCGATACCACACTCGACACTGGTCGATCTGTAAGTAACCGGAAGAGAAGATTCATTTCACATGAAATGCAGCCTTCCAGGTAGCAGAAATGCGAAAGAAAGACTGTTCTTACGTTCATCAGATGATACATGGCCTAAAATAAAAAAAAAAATAATTTCGGGAAAACAGTGTGTTTTCCTTACAAATATGTTGCACTTGTAGTTTAAAAAGTGAATGATGGAAATTTATGAATTACTGGAATCCTTCTTAACGATGACTGGTACAGTTTGAAATTAAGCCTTATGTATGCTTCTCTGCACTAGAAGGTTTCTTGAACATATGTATAGCAAGAATGGATAAATCGGAACATACAAAAATCAGAAAAATTAAATGTTTTGAAATAATCGTGAATTACAAAAATTACGAGCAAATATGAATTACAAGCAGAAGCATGCATGCGGGACTTGTTTCGACACTATTTTCTAAAGCGTTGAATTCTGTGCGATTATATCGCTTAAAATCAATTTCTTCAGCCTTAGAGGTTAACTTTCCTTCGGTACGCAAATAAAACTTCGGAATGTGAAGTATATCATCATTTTTCATTGCTGAAAAAAGAAAAACTTTTTACCAAAACTTTGGAATATTTTTGAATAACCAAATGGCAATGCAGGAAAATAATATGGAAAAAAAAATCTCTAAAAGCTGAGAAATCGAGTACTAGTGATAAGTGCTAGAGGAGTAATCACTTAGGGATGTCAAAAAAAAAAAGACTCCGTCACTACTATCAAAAATCCCTCGATATACTCAAGGCAATATTTTAGAATCGAAACTACCATTTGAACATTTATCATGGGTAGAACTTGTATATGGACAAACGTTGAAGCCTCGCAGTGATGTACCAGCGCGAGGATTATGAGCATAACCAACAAACTGCACCATGCGCATTGAATCAATCACCTTTTCTGATATCGGATCTGGCTGTCTAAAACGGAAATGATCTTTATGTTTTCTTTCGACAAATTTCTTGGAGATATTATGTTCATCATAAGTTTAAGTTAGAAATTTCATAAAGTTGTGCGAGAATACGAAGAAAATGTACCTGAACCGTCTAATACATAACTGCTCAGGCCAATCTGAGGCATAGTGATCATCCACTGGAAACGGAAGAGGAAACACTCCATATGATGGCTCGGGATCGTCGATGTTAACTGGTGGATGAAAAGCAATCTAAAAAAGAATTTTTACTGCCTGAAAAAATCTCAAAAAAAAAAAAAAAAAAAAAAAAAAGAATTACCCACACAATGTGCGCTGGCAGAGTAGAACAGGACGTCCAAAAAAACGTAAATATGATCACCTTTTTAAAGAAGACTAGTCATCAGTTCCTTGAATGCTTATGATCCCTAGAAATGTAGCTGGAAGGGAATATTCATTTACAAAGAGCATGTCAAAATTCTACTTACTGGATCTGGAAAATCTGTGCCCCATGAATTTTCATTAAAAATGGGTTCCATTCGATCCGAAAAGAGGTGTATCAAACCTGAACGTATATATGCAACATTAGTTAAAGAAAGCAGAAATAGTGCTATTTTCTTGAATTATTTGACTTACGCTATCATTCCATTTTTCTCTTTTTTTTGTTTTTGTTAACAGCATTCTCTTTTTGTGAATATGAAAACAGTTTTCACTCAACAGACCTGTCTGTTAATTACTTTATCTACATTCAACGTTGGTTCTAGAATTATCCAAATTTTATATTCACAAAATTATTGAAAATCTGAGTTACCTGTTTGATCACCAAAAGCGATACATTGTTTCGAAGTTGATACATCAAGAGATGTAATGGCGAAGCCATTTGTATCTAATTGTATAGGCATCTGACTAGATTGCTCATTTAAATCCATTACAATCAATTCACCACTCTAAGAAAAATGGATATATCTTCTGTAGTGTTAATTTCTCAGCAATAATTTTATAGTGCTACGTACATTAGAACTGGGAAAAAATAACTGCAAAATATTTAATGACATCACTAATATTAATTACTATAAAAGTTCCACATTTAGAAAATGTATAAAAGCATACTTGAGAGCAAACCATAATCCGACCATCCGAATAAGATGGTAGAAATCTGCAATATGATGGTGCCATTGGTAAAGGTACCGGGGGCAAACTACGCAGTGTTCTTAGATCATAAATCATTATGAATCGATCACCTGCCATTTTACCCATTCTATAATAAAAACTGTGTATCAGAGTATATATCAATTTAATTAGCAGCGACACTGATCCCTTTTTGCACAGTAATACGAAAAATTACAATGGCAAATCATATGTGGTTCAAAGTTCTCTATCGATGACCAGATTCAAAAGAGTCAACGTCATTCTAATCTGATTAGTCAATGAATCACCAACCTTGGAGAGTAACCGCATGTGATTAGTTTATTGCCGCAAACATCAAAATCAGCTATTGATCCCTGATGAGCTTGCAAGGCATGGATTGCATCCACTGTTGTAAGGTGCCGGAGTGTTACCTAAAAAAATAATTTACTTTCAAGAAACAATGATAAAGCAGCCAACAATATAATGTAGAGTGAAAGTACAACAACTTAGTGAACATTCGTGGATTGTTGGAACAATCAAAGAATATTTCATAATATTCTTCTCTATTAGAAAACAATACAAATATCAAAAGAAAAAAATGCCAGCTGAAACTTACGTTTCCCTCCGAGTCAGAACTAAATAAAAATTTTTGATTTGATCGCAAAGCCAAGCAATTTTTCTGTTTAACAGAAACCTGAAATTAACATTCCCATCAAACTTTTCAGAAAAAACTTAGTCATATTTCCACGATTAGACTTCTAGCGATCAGCTCATTTAGCCCAATTTATTTTTCATAATGAAATTCAGTGCTGAAATTAAAAAAAAAAACATACAATTCGTATTTCTTTTTGTGTTTCCACATCAAACTGTATGATTTGTTGCTGATTACCACCCAGCAGTAATTTATGTGGTACATCCGAAAGTCGATGCATACAGGTAAGATCAGTCATATGATCGGACCTATAAATCAATCCATATTTCTGCGCTATTTCTGCTAGACAATAAATTTATGTGACCAAAGAATTTTTCAAATGAATAACCTGAATATTCACAAGCTTACTCATATCATTAATAAAAACATGACTGCAACGGCAATGAAGCTGACGAGTAACTTTAGAAGACTCGATATAAATTACTGCAACAGCGGTTTTGCAAATAGCATTTAATAAGTTTCTGTGATTAAGGAATTCTTTAAACGAATAATTTAAATACAAGCTTACATATGTGTAAATAACGAAATGCCTTGTCGACGGTTAGCTCTTAAACGCTTGGATGTTAGTGAGAAAATAACAGTTTCTGAAGCAAGCAAAGCACGAATGCTTGAATTAGTTGACGATAAAAATGCTGTGTACTTGTCAAGTTGTGCACCATAAAACGACACCACGCGTCCCTGAAAATCATGGAAATGCATAAAGTACTAAAATAGTTTAAATTTATCCACTACAAATTTTGTTTCATATCTTATGAAGAAATAAATACAACAAATAACATTTTGATCAGCTTTACATTTCTGAACTGAACTAATTCAAAGCTTCATTCTCCCAGCGATTGAAAGCAAACATGCCTTGAGCATGAATGGAAGGCCTAATATTCACGATTTTAACGGAATAGTTATTCTAAGAGTAATATCAAAGCAATCATGTTGGAAAGACTTAAGGGTGGTAACAGAATAAACCTAAATACAAAATCTGAGAATTTTCACAATCATTTTCATTATCTAAAATCAATTACTGTATTATTGCCAGTCCAAAGAAGTTCCTGGTATGGATCAAATGTAAGTGCTGTAATGAAATGTGCAAGTGCTGCATTCTGTGATGTTGTTGACAGCAATGCGAATCCACCTTCTGGAATACGAGCTTCGTTATTCTGAAACAACAATTATTGGTAAAATTTAAGTTCTCCCTTCAGTTTTTTTTTTTTTTTTTGAATGTTAAATTCTAAAAGTTTATGGAAAAATGATTCGCAAAGATCTAAACTTAATCTAAACTGTATGGTAAATAGATTTAAATATTTTACTCTTAGCTCTTTATGAAATCTCACATTTTATGAACTTATGAAACGTAACATGAAGTTTTAAACTGGTATAAAACTCAAACCATTGATGTAAGACCATCTGCAGATATTAAGACATTTTCGCTATGTCCTGGTGATGAACCATACATTCGCATCTACTTTCAAATTTTCCCCCGTAAAATGGATTAACCTATAAACAGCATTATTTCCGCCCTAACCTGATGCACTCTGTCGACCACTTATTTCACTGGCTAAACTGGGTAATTCAGTGCGAAGTTGTTTCAATAACAATTTTGAGTACGACAAATTTGTTCCTCTGTCATTTCTCATTTATGTCCTTAATCCTTTCACCCATTAGCAATCTCTACTGTCTCTTCTCTTGCAACACACACTAAAATCTTAGCAATCATTGCTATCTCCATATTTCCAATGTTATATCTTACTTTTTCTCATTATCAAAACATTAAATGTTTTTTTGCTAATATCATTAACTTTTACTACTTCTCTTCCCTCTTCAACAAAAGTTAGTCTCAATCTCGACTATCCCATTCTTCTCAAATCCTACTACTAGTTTCCCCGCTCCTCAAATCCCTCAAAATGATTTCAAACTATACAAGACCTAATCTGTGGGTTCAGTGACAAGTAGCTAGGTAGTCTTATTCCGGCAATTCTCATTTTCCATGAAAAGTTTCGATGCGGAATTGTCATACTAAGACGAATGTTTCCAGAAATTAATTGTTTGTCTCATCTGATTATATTTTCATTTTCATTTCGTTGCTGTGCTTTTTTTATCAGTGATTTTGCATTTTTTATTCTAAAATTATATTTTATATCTTGACTTGTTTCTTCATTCTAATTGAAATATTTTGATTTTTATGTTCCATTCAAATTTTAATTATTTCAATTCAGTTGATTGATTTAATTCATCATTAAACGAATCAAACGAGTTCAGTGCTTTGGAGAACCTATATACGTATATTTTCTTTTTTTAATCTCAATGGAAATGCTTTTTCCTTATTTTTATTTATTAATTTAATTTAATATTAACGTCAAGTTAATATTGAAAGTATTTTTTTTTCTTCCTTATATTTTGCTTATTAAAGTGCTGAGCTAAGCATGGAAGAGAGTAAAGATCGGCTAGTCTTAGTACGTTTTTTTTTTTTTTTAATGTCTAAATGTGATAAACATTGAGAACGATGATTACTGGTTGATCCTTAAAATAGAATGTTTATTTCATTTTAGCTATCTTGCTAGGATTTGAAATTTCAAGTTTGCCAGACACGTTTTGTAGCTTTTGAAATCGCTGTGATTTTATGTTTCAACTGTTTTCTGACTAAATTGTCGTAAAGGCCAGCGCTTCGAATTTTATCAGGAAGACTAGATACAGTCGTTTATTCCATCATGTGATGATATGTTGTAATGAAAGTGAAATAAATTTTAAAATGTATGCAAATGCATCAGTGTTCATTACGTAGATTAATGAACTTATATTTTCTTTAATTTAAATTTCATTCAATAAGTCGTTCATTGTTATCTATAGCTCCTTTTCGTTTTCTCGTTTTTTTTTTTTTCAAAATAATTTTGAGATTCAATAAATTAATAGAGACAAACAGTTTTTTTTTTCTTTTTCATTCTTTCCTGTGAACAAAATTGAATTAGTGTCATCGACGCTACACACCATATAATTTACATCGGTATTTTGTTCTTTAATATCCCAATCATAAATTCCGAATCTAATTTATTTCTAACAGTGTATCCTTAAGTAATATCATGATTACAGGATGACAACTTGTAACAGTGTTAGCTGTGGAATTCGAAAAGATCTAAAATTAGGAATGTTTCATTCCATTCACTGATTTCATTACTGATTTATTCAGAAAAAAAATGTAATATTGATTGGGGACATCAGGAAATCACAACTACAAATGTATTCCTGAAATAATTGAGGCTTCCTGCAATGTTATTTATACCCAGTGTTCTTCTCAATATGAAAATTATAACAGAGTATCAATTTCATAGAATTTCTGAATAATACAGAAGGATATAGGGGACATCTAGATATAAAAAAGATGTAATATATTTGTCTCTCCCTAATTTCCAAAGTTTTAGCTTACGGAGGGGAATTGTGTAATGCGAAGTTCTGCATGTGCCAGATCTGGTGTTAATGAAATACTAAGTCTGTGATAAATTCTGCAAAAATGAATGAAAGAATTTTGAGAAGAAATGAAAAAGTCACTTTATGAGATCTGTAACGTTATTCTAGTTCTAATACACGTAAAAAGATAATGTATTATGTATGTAAGATGAATTTGTAAGACTAAAATATTATTTATCATTGAATGAATACGTTTATCTTTAAGAATTTATGTGCAATTAGAAATAATAATGAAATTTTTACAATTTTATATCGTTTATTTGCTTGGAAATGATTAATTCAAATTATTGAACGTAGACGATTCTCTCTCTATCGTTTTCTCTCCCTCTTTCTATCTACCATCAATAAATTTAGAGACTTATGTTTGTTGTGTGTGTGTGTGTGTGTGTGTGTATGTGTGTGTGTGTGTGTGTGTGTGTGTGTGTGTGTGTGTGTGTGTGTGTGTGTGTGTGTGTGTGTGTATGTGTGTGTGTGTGTGTGTATGTGTGTGTGTGTGTGTGTGTGTGTGTGTGTATGTGTGTGTATGTGTGTGTGTATGTATGTGTAAGGATATTGAGGGTAAATAATATATCAGTGTAAAGGTATGTTTCCCTTTCTCATCGTGATTTCAGTAAATGAAATTTCAGGTTGACCATTGAAATGCAGTAATGATAGGTAGTATTATCAAGTTGAGAACGAGAGAGGGAGAGAGAGAGAGAGAGAGAGAGAATCGTAAAAGAAGTTTTTATTGTATATGAACGTGGGTGATGTACGGACTCTTCCGCTTCGATACATTTATCTAATTATTTAACCCTTTCTCACTCACAGCTACCGAAATAGATAGATGGGTGATGGACGCCTTTGCAACTAACTCTCTTCTCGATGTGTAATATCAACAATAGCAATAGCAGCACTACTAGCAACAGCAGCAGCAGTAGTAGTAGCAGTAGCAGGCATCCTGGCAGAGTATGATTTGACGATTGGTTGTGGTGGCAGTAGACATCATCTAAACGATCAACAGCTGGCATTCTCGTCCATTCAATGGAACCTTGTAAGCTGTAAGGAGGAGAAGCATCTGTAAAGGTATGTATTTCTATCTTTCACTTGCAATTATAGCACATCATCGTACAATTGTCATTTCAATCTTTTACATGAAATTTTACAACATCCGGCAAAAACCAGTCATTTTTTCTCTCTCTCCCTTTCTCTCTTTCTCCCTCTGTCCCACCCTTTTCTTACCCTTTTCTTTCTCTCTTTCCTTCTCCTGACCTTTTTGATTTCTCTTCTATCGTTTGTTTAGTCTTATTCATTTCTTTGGAATAGTTTTGTTTTAAACGAAGTGTACTAAAATATTTTTAACAATGTTTTTTAGATTTTCATCTGCATAGCATTTTTGAACTTTTCTTCTCACTTTTTATTATTAAATTGTTGCTTTTGCCTTCTAAAAATTTCTCTTTTTGTTTCTAAAATTTTGTTATATTACTGAATTTCAACTACACCTCTCGCAATTCTCTGCTAGACTTTTGATTGTCTTTGATGGTCTTCTACTGAAGGTATTATGATAAACATTATCACTGATTATTTTTACCGTAACTACGAAATGTAATTTTTTGCGCTAGCGGGTCTTAGCTTACGCTTCACCTTTTTTATTTTGCAGTTTAAATTATTGTACAATTATTTATTTTAGTTTTCCTTATACTTATATTTGCATTACTTCAATCCGTTTTCTTTTTCTCACTTTTTTCATTTTTTTGCTGCATACTTGTTGCATGCGAGATTATCAATTTTGATTCACTTCACTAATGTTAACTTTATATCCAGATATTAATATTGACTCAGTTCAGGGATATCTTTCAATTTTCGAAACAGTTATGTCAAATTTTATATTTTTATTTATAAATATCTAGATAGGGAAAGGATTTTGAATATTTATCATTTTTGATATCCAGAAAATCTCAACTACAGTTTAGGAAGTTGAGGATTGAACAAGGCACTCGATTCGATCTAGGAATATTGATGAGTCAGAATATTTAAGCTAGAAAGATTTCAGATACTTTGAAGATTAGAAAATTGCAGTATATGAGAGAACTGAAGTAGAAATGAAAATTAGGTAATCTTATGTAGTACTTATGTTATGTATAAAATGCACAGAATAATTTTAAATCATAAATTTCGAGAAAATTTCCGCTTGAGAAGATTTTTATCAGTGATTTACTGGAGAACTCTAAACTTATTATTGGTGGAGTATCAAATTAAAGTTTCGTTATCTGCCGATTTCAAGATTTTCACATGATTTTATGTTATCCCATGATGGTTGGTGGTTCTTTATTATGCAAAATTGTTTTATATTTGAAGTTAGTTTAGCTTTACAAAACGTACCATTCCCCCAGATGGAGTGTTTTTGAACTTTTTCTGTTCCTGAATTTCCAGAGATTTGTTCAATATTAAAAGATCCGAAAGGTTTATGAGATTTGAACTGGTTGTTCTATATTACATATAAGTTAATAGAGCTTTGTAAAAAATTATGACGATTGAGGACGCATTTTTTATCTCATCGATCCTGCGATGCGACTATAGCGAATATTTCTGATTTTTAAGGTTTTAAATTTAAAAAGTTTTCAGTCCTAGTTTTCAGGTTTTGGCTGTACAAAAGCTTGCCGTGCTTTCCGCACGGCTCTCACGTCATATCCAGCGTCTGTATGTGTAAGTGAATAACCGCTATCACCGGTACTTATTAACCACGTTGGATTATTTGGAATAAAGTAATCGTATTACTTTTTTAAAATGTCTCTTTCGAGTAACTACCATTCACATAAGCCAAATGTGCCCATTATAATGGAAGATGTATTTGGTTGGGTGCGTGAGGGTAATACGTTTCAAGTGCGCGTATGGCTTGATGATACCGAACACGATCTCAATATTGGGTAAGTTTACTTTGTCATTAATTAAAACAAATAATGTCATGTTTTTTACCTAACTTTTTGATTATAGATTTATAAAAAGTTTCATCTTTAA